GTACTGTTGGTATACTAATGCATATTACAACTTCAACAGCTTAATCAATCCTATCCTAGGCCTAATTAAACAGTTTTAGGCCTAATAAAATCTTAGGTATATGCCTTCGTATAAATTTAATTCATTATTGAGAGCAATCAATTATTATTGATTCATTATTGAGGCTACTACTATAGCCTCACAATTCATTATTGTGAGGCTACAGTAGTAGCCTCACAAGCTGGTCACGTAGAGTCATCGTCGGAGCCACAGCTGGTCTCAGAGGGGAAGAGAGGAGAGTCATGCAGCAACCAACACTAACAGACGTAGAAGCTAGTCTGTCCAGGATAACTTCTCCTGACACCATTAACAGTAAAGGTTGTACTTGCTCACTGCCTGATGGAGTCAGCGTTTATCTCCTGTGGATTCCTTCGCATATTGGTCTCCGAGTGCATGATAGAACTCATGAGTTAGTCTGAACATTTGCTCGTAGAGGAAATTGATTACCACCTTGGATTGCCTTTGATCAGCTCGAGGGGCAGCAATATTCAGGGAATAGCAACAAAATTTAATAGACGAAACAAAGTGAAATTCACACCAATTTCTTTTTAGTCATTCTAATGTGCAGATCAAACCGCACGTCTATGGGTCATCCAATAAGGTTAGCAGACTTCTAGATGTTACCACTGCTAGGCTTAGGCTCGGCTACAAGTACCTCTGGGAGTTTGCAACATCTGCTGATGTAGTTTTCACTAAAAGTAAACTGTCAGCAGAACTAATCACATATTTTGCGTCATTATATAACTGAATGCGAAAAAATAGCGGAATTCAGAAATAATTCCATCAATGGTGTTCAGGAAATATATAATTACTTCTTTCATAATGATGTACTGCCATAAATATTAGACAAGTATCGAAAGTTTGCTTACTGTAGTTTCAGCCTGCACATGACTGTAAAGTTGCCTCCCAGTTGGGTGGGTGTAGAGTCATTAGTGACTATAACTGACTCACCTCAGATGTAAACTGCCATGTATTAGGACTGTTATAGGCTTCTTCTTGAATCACTTGTGATATAAAATGACTATAGATGTATGTCCATATATTTGTGTAGACGAAAAAGAAAATTGTGTAACTAGCTTCACAAAATTGTCACACTTAGCTAAATGAACTCTGAGGTTCAGTTTCTGAACCCATTATGTGTCTCCATAACCCTTTCCACCACCGCCCACTGGATGAGTATGGGGTGCATAATAAATCACTCAGAAATTTGTTTTTTATTTTCCATATAATTCAGTTACAAGACATAAATGTTATTTTCGCGTGTCCTGTTTAATAGCGTTATTTGCATAAAAAAATAGTTTTTTCGTACACTAGAGATAAGAACACACGAATACTATAAAGACCATAACAACTATGACCCCAACACCTGCCACTCACGTATTTATTCACGTATTTATTACTGTTATACAGTAATACGTATTTTGTATTACTGTTTTTCCATTACTGTGCTATTTCTGTATTCTTGTATTTTTTTTTCTGGTACTCTGGTGCCTTTGCTTTTATTATTGTATTTGTGATGTTTTTATTATAAATAAAAAAAATTAACAAATACATTACTTCAGAAGCTAAACTAGGGCTTCGAAGACCTTACAGGAACCAAGGTGAGGATTTTAGCGCCAAGATATCAAGTGCCATTGGCCACAGTTTTGACCAAGCAGTCTTTGGTTAAATCCTGCTGCAGTTCATTGCGATGTACAGCATCTTAAATACAGACGGTGAGAAGTCTACATGTAAACTGAGAAGTCTCCTAATATGGAGGTTAATACAGAAACATGCTCCGTGTTTTCTTTGATGCTATAGGGTATCTCTGGTTACACTCCTCCACCGCCCACAGGCTGGGTATGGGACACCTCTACCCTGGCCCACAGGCTGGGTATGGGACACCTCTACCCTGGCCCACAGGCTGGGTATGGGACACCTCTACCCTGGCCCACAGGCTGGGTATGGGACACCTCTACCCTGGCTCACAGGCTGGGTATGGGACACCTCTACCCTGGCTCACAGGCTGGGTATGGGACACCTCTACCCTGACCCACAGGCTGGGTATGGGACACCTCTACCCTGGCCCACAGGCTGGGTATGGGACACCTCTACCCTGACCCACAGGCTGGGTATGGGACACCTCTACCCTGACCCACAGGCTGGGTATGGGACACCTCTACCCTGACCCACAGGCTGGGTATGGGACACCTCTACCCTGACCCACAGGCTGGGTATGGGACACCTCTACCCTAACCCACATGCTGGGTATGGGACACCTCTACCTCTCACAACCGCCCATAGGCTGGGTATGGGGTAACTATGCCCCCTCACCACTGGCTGGGTATGGGACACCTCTACCTCTCACAACCGCCCATAGGCTGGGTATGGGGTAACTATGCCCCCTCACCACTGGCTGGGTATTGGGTACTCCTACCCTCCCCACTGCCCACAGCATACTTCAATCTAAAACTGAAATTAATTGAAGATTTTACCCCGAACGGTCTTACAAAGTTTTGAGAAAAAAAATGGCAATTTGAATTTCTATATTTTCTGGAGCGCTTTTGAGACAAGCAGAGTTAATTACGGCCTCAAATGTTTATATTCACCGCCTGAGATAAGAGGCTCGGCCCTCCCACACTGTTTGTCAGTGAAGAAGGTTCATTAAAAGTGATCCGGACGGGAGACTTAATATTCAGGAGAATGTGTTTGTGTCCGATGGCTCAGGGCTTCAAACTCGTTATTTTATATTTGGTCGTTAATCTTCCAGTATTAAAATAGCGTTCTTGAAGATTCCAGACCCAACTGTGCTACTGGCATGCGTTGGTTACTGCGTTACTGCTATTCCTGGCCGCTCATTGGCTACTTCATTGACTACTCTTGGCCTCCTTTGGCTACCACTGGTCTCACTGGCTACTTCTGAGCTACTATTTTTCCTGCTAGGCTACTCCTGGCTATTTATGGGCCGCGTGATGATGCTAGGCTACGTCTGGCCTACTGCTGGCCGCCTTGGTCATTCCTGGACCTCCTCACCTGTTCCAGAGAGCCTCCTTCGTCAACAATTACTGTGATGACACGATGAGCCGTGCCCAGGTGTGGTGATAATTTTTCGAGATGGTACCAGGTGTGGTGATAATGGTGCCTGGTGTGGTGATAATGCGGGCAGGTGTGGTGATAATGGAGACAGGTGTGGGGCTGCGACACCACCACTCCACTGACCACAAGATATGATAAGACGCTTACCTTCCCCCCCCCCTCCTCCAGGGGTACTGTATCCCGTCAGAGGTTGGTGAGACCCCTTCACTGTTGATCCCGCGCTGCCCCCGTCACCACCTGGCGCCCCCGTCACCACCTGGCGCCCCCGTCACCACCTGGCGCCCCCGTCACCACCTGGCGCCCCCGTCACCACCTGGCGCCCCCGTCACCACCTGGCGCCCCCGTCACCACCTGCCGCCCCCGTCACCACCTGCCGCCCCCGTCACCACCTGGCGCCCTGATGCATCTCTGGAAATCTAGTCGTGTGTTCTTGGTTGTGTTGACGTGTTGTGGTTCCTCCATACAAGGTATGCAACCAGCGCCCTCTGTGTGTGGTGACACCTGCTCCTCCCTGTGTGTGTGTGGTGACACCTGCCCCTCCCTGTGTGTGTGTGGTGACACCTGCCCCTCCCTGTGTGTGTGTGGTGACACCTGCCCCTCCCTGTGTGTGTGTGTGGTGACACCTGCAGCCACACACACACGCTGCCCACCTAACGCCACTTCCAATCTGTTTTAAATACTATACAAACGATTGTCAGGTTTTAGTTAGAAAAGATAAAAATAATGATGCTGATTGAAGATGTTGCCGTGAGTGTACAAACACACACGTGTGTGTGTGTGTGTGTGTGTGTGTGTGTGTGTGTGTGTGTGTGTGTGTGTGTGTGTGTGTGTGTGTGTGTGTGTGTGTGTGTGTACCCCGGAGCCAGACCACTGGTGTGGCCTGCATCCTGGGAAAAGTAACTTTCCTAAGCCCTTTGGCTTATGGCTACGGGTCTTGAACCTAAGACTAAGGGCCTTGGGCCTAGGGTTAAGAGCCTTGGGCCTAGAAAAGACCTTAATAACCCTACCATCAAGGTACTTTGACTCAGAAAATAAAACTAATATCCTCATAAATGGTCAATTAATCAACATAATACCAACGAATTAATCAACAATACAATTCATACAATGTACAGATGGCCATAGACCATAGTAGTAGTAGTAGTAGTAGGCATCCGTCAATCCCGTGGGGTTGTTACTGAGTAGTGCCCTCGGGGGTCTAGTTGGATGCCGCGCCTGCTGTGGCTGTGAAGACCAACCCGAGAATGACAGTCCCGACCGCAGATAAACGACGAAGCAGGTGCATCTGACAATGGTCAAGACCTCCTCTAAAGTCTATTATCCTCCGCCTGCCTCTTCAGTTAACCCTCGAATTGCTGGAGTCCCTTCTGTACTTTGCATCTCCAGGGCAGATCTGTCCGTAGCTGCTGTCTCCCGAGTGTTGATGTCGACGTTCAGGTGCTTGAGGTCGCGTTTGCAGGCATCTTTGAAACGCAGCTGAGGTCTTCCGATGGGCCTCTTTCCTGATGCCCGTTCTTCCAGTTGGTAGAAGCAGTTCCGCCGGGCCTAGGGGCTAAGCCACACGTGCAGGCCAGGAGCTGGTCTTGATTGTCAGAGGCTGTTTGAGATGCAAGTCATCACTTTACAGGCTGTGGGAGCTTATCTCCACTTCCCCCCCCCCCCCGAGGCAGTGACAGCCCTTGGGAACCATAACTATAGACATTTCTATACATTCGTGTGTGTATATGTAGCCTTGTGAAGGAGTAACTTGAGCAGACGAGTGTTGACCACACATGTGGGTCACTAACGAGTGGTTACCTGCTCATTACGATCACCAACAACATATGCCACTGGGCGCTATCGTTACATTAGTAGTCCACACCAGATAACGTATCGTCAGATACGTTATCTCTTGAGGATAACCAATACATGATAACCTTACGAGGTGCCTCGGACGAGAGGTCAATTCCATCGATCGTACTCGGCTTCTAGAACATTTTAAATATATATTTACATGTTTTCCCAGTAGCTTTGTGTACCGTGTGTGTGGTCCATAGTGTACCGTGAGTGACGTCACTTCTGGTGTCACGGCAGGGTCGGAGGTCCACCTCCAGGTCATCAAGGCGGAGGGTAACACTGGCCCCGAGGTGGAGGTGTCGTGGACGCTGCCTCACTCTGGCCTCTCCCTCACCTGGGCCGCCCTCACATATACCTCTCAGGTGAGCACTCTTCCCTCCAGCCCAGGTGAGCCTCTTCCTCACAGGTGGTCACATCTCTCCCTCACAGGTGGTCACATATCTCCCTCACAGGTGGTCACATCTCTCCCTCACAGGTGGTCACATCTCTCCCTCACAGGTGGTCACATCTCTCCCTCACAGGTGGTCACATCTCTCCCTCACAGGTGGTCACATCTCTCCCTCACAGGTGGTCACATCTCTCCCTCACAGGTGGTCACATCTCTCCCTCACAGGTGGTCACATCTCTCCCTCACAGGTGGTCACATCTCTCCCTCACAAGTGGTCACATCTCTCCCTCACAAGTGGTCACATCTCTCCCTCACAGGTGGTCACATCTCTCCCTCACAGGTGGTCACATCTCTCCCTCACAGGTGGTCACATCTCTCCCTCACAGGTGGCGTCTAAGGAAGTAGGTGCTCAGCGCCTGGAGTCGAGTGCGAGCAGCTTCGTGATCAGGGAGGGACTCAAGTTCGAGCAGCAGTACCGAGTGTGTGTGTCCTGGGAGGCGCCCGGGTGCCGCCACCTCCCCTCCCTCTGTAGCTTCCTCAAGGTGCCCAGGCGGCCGCCCTCCCTCGCTCACAAAGGTACCTGTAGCAGCTCCCAGGCTCACATAAGCACCTCATAGGCTCATAATCTCACGCAGGCACCTCATAGGCTCACGCAGGCACCTCATAGGCTCACACAGGCACCTCATAGGCTCACACAGGCACCTCATAGGCTCACACAGGCACCTCATAAGCCACACAGGCAACGATGATCCCGCTAGACTCAACCTGATATTCACCCTGAACGAGTGAATATCAGGTTGAATCTAGCTGGATTGAATCTGAATCTGTGGTCACTCATTCCTACGTGGGAATGAGTGACCACAACATACTAACATTTGAGCATCTGGTGGAAGTAGGGGTAACCTATCCACGGAAGGGATCAGAAAGAAAATGGCTGGCTTACCGAAGAGGAAAATATGACGAGATGAGGAATTTCTTAATGGGAATACCCCGGAAACCGAACTCGGAGAAAAGACTGTACAGAATATGATGGACTGTCACCCAGAAGTGCCAGAAAGTTGCAGAGTTTTTATTACGGCCCAAAAGGAGAACAATTTAAAGCAACATTTTAAAACCAGAACAACGGGAGTTACATGTCCACTACGGGCTCACCATAGCCGGTGCTACTTGGGACTTTTTGTTCCAGGTAGCGAATCTTAAACAACAACAACAGGGAGTTACATGTTATATATGTAAGGATATATTTACTGTAATATATGTAAGAATAGATTCAACTAGGTTTGGGCTGAGCCGCACCATGGGCCTGAAAGCTGGACATTTACTCTGGGTATGCAACAATGATTTGCCAACTTAGAACATATTTAAGCAACTTCTAGATACCACGATGAATGACCGATAAATTCCATTCACTTAAAACCTACCAGCCACGCAGGAAGTGGGAAATAAATAATAGTGGAACCGGAGCCGAGGCGATAGACAGGGAGGAAACTGAATTAGAAATTCAGGAGGTTGTAAATTCTGATTCAGTATACCCGGATACAGATGACAGTAGACAAGGAAGTTTGACAACACTGACAGTTTGACAGGTACAGACACTACAACAGACCTCAATAGAGATCAGAAGGACAGACATTTGCAAATTCTATGCCAAGGGCATTTGCAGACATAGGTAATCTGGAAATAGAAAGGTATTAGAATGCAGCTACCACCAACCCAGACAATGTCTAAATAAAGCAGCTGACATAGCCCCTCTACACAAGGGAGGGAGCAAAGCATTGGCAAAGAATTATAGACCAGTTGCACTAACGTCCCACATAATAAGAATATTTGAGAGAGTGATCAGGAGTCAGTTTATCAGTTTCATGGTAACCACTGACCTCCACAACCCAGGCCAACATGGAATTAGACAGAGTCATCGCTTTTTAGAAAAACTTTAGGCACCAACAGGAGTCATTTCCTCATTGTAAACATATATAAGTAACTAGTTGAGGAGCCTATGGTGAGAGAGAGGAGAGGATGGAGGCGCCAAGCAGCCGTCGTGTGCTGGCTGCCATATTGAGACATTATAGGTATTATATTTTGAAAAACCAAAGTAAAAATGATAGTATTGGTGACTATAATTGTTAGGTGGAGTTAAATTAAAGGTTTGTGTCGAGTCAGCGGAGCGGTAACATCAGCACTGTTTTGATGACAGGTCCGTCCCTCTACCTGGTGCTGGGGCCCGTCCACAGCAAGAACGTGACGGTGGTGTGGGGGGAGACGCCCCCCCTGCACCCTAGCGACCACCAGCCCTCCCCCAGGGGGTTCAGGGTGGCCTGGAGGAGGGTGGAGGGCCGCGTCGGCCACCCTGGTCACTCCTCCACCATCGTCTCCAACAAGCACCTCATCAGAGGACTCATCCCAGGCACAAGGTACAGTCACAAGACAGGTGCCAGCGTCCCACTAGTCGCAGGAGCGGGGTGGCACCTCACACTAGGGGCACACACCACTGTTCAACAGGCACTCACTAGGGGGCAGACACCACTGTTCAACAGGCACTCACTAGGGGGCAGACACCACTGTTCAACAGGCACCTCACACTAGGGGCAGACACCACTGTTCAACAGGCACCTCACACTAGGGGCAGACACCACTGTTCAACAGGCACCTCACACTAGGGGCACACACCACTGTTCAACAGGCACCTCACACTAGGGGCACACACCACTGTTCAACAGGCACCTCACACTAGGGGCACACACCACTGTTCAACAGGCAACAGGCACCTCACACTAGGGGCAGACACCACTGTTCAACAGGCACCTCACACTAGGGGCAGACACCACTGTTCAACAGGCACCTCACACTAGGGGCAGACACCACTGTTCAACAGGCACTCACTAGGGGGCAGACACCACTGTTCAACAGGCACTCATTAGGCTCAAAGTCCAGTTCTTACACGGCTCTGGTTACGGTAAGGGGCGAGAAGTCGGACTTGCGAACAGTAACAAGGCTCACTATACACTAGTAACTAGGCATGTGTCATATACCTGCCTCATCTTTATTGTAAACTGAAATATATGTTGTTATTAATTATCGAGTATTGTGAGGTAACATGAGGATTGTGAGGCAGGTATGAGGTGTGTGTCGGAGAGACTGTGGCCTCTGACTCCCAGCTGACCTGTGACGTCATCACCACGGCTGAGGATGGTGAGTACTCTTGCAGTGTCCCTCCTGTAGTGTCCCTCTTGTAGTGTCCCCTCATGTAGTGTCCCCTCCTGTAGTGTCTCTTGTAGTAACATTAAACAAAATGTGTCCGTATCAGCACAGACAATGTACTTAAAGATGCAGCAGTAGAGGTAGACCTTATACAAGGCTTAGAACATAGATATGAAAGGACTGGATAGCCTCAAGAACCTGTATCCCAGTTAAGTGACGGGACCAAAGAGCCGAAGCTCAACTCCTTCAAGGAGAGTGTTACACATACAACAATTAGTAGAGTACACATACCCAGACTGACCACCGCGTGTCGACAGTGCCAGGGCCGCCAGTGACGGAGGCTGGGACATGCAGCAGCCAGGCGCAAGGCACCCATTGGCGCTGTGACGTGACCTGGAGTACTCCGGACACCACTAATGGCAGGATCACAGGGTCAGTACACAACCATTCATCGTCTGATCATCTCATAATATGTGAGTTATAATGACATACTGGAGGTGTTGTGAGGGGTTGTGAGAGGGGTTGTGAGAGGTGTTGTGACGACAGGTACCTGGTGGAGTGGAAGGACAAGGAGGGGTACGTGCTGATGGAGTCCGCAGGCCGCGGGGTGCTGTGTGACCCGACCTGCTACCACAGTCAGGTCGTGACCTTCCTGCCCTCCGAGGTCTGTGTCACCGCTGCCACCACCGCCGGCCACGGCTGGCACAGCTGCGCTCCCATACACGGTCAGTAGCCTGCGCTCCCATAGTAACCTGCGCTCACATACACGGTCAGTAGCCTGCGCTCCCATAGTAACCTGCGCTCACATACACGGTCAGTAGCCTGCGCTCCCATACACGGTCAGTAACCTGCGCTCCCATAGTAACCTGCTCTCTCATAGTAACCTGCTCTCACATACAGGGTGAGTATAGCCATATATTACTCATATAGTAGGGCCTACAGCCCCTTGTTCATCATGTAATATACACATTGTGGTGGTGAGGGAGTGAATGACGTGTTGTCCTCCCACAGGCGTGAGGGAGAGACTGCTGGCGCTGTTGGAGCTGAAGGTGTTGGTGATCATCGGAGCGACGGTGCTGAGTTACCAGCTGGGCCCCGCACTCCTCAGGGCTCTCCTACACTGCTGGTGAGGCCTCCCTCACTCTCACTCCTCCCCTCTCTCCCTCCTGGCGAGGCCTCCCTCACTCTCACTCCTCCCTCTCTCCCTTCTGGTGAGGCCTCCCTCACTCTCACTCCTCTCCCCTCCCTCCTTGTGAGGCCTCCCTCACTCTCACTCCTCCCTCCTTGTCCCAGCTCCTTGTCTTCACATCCCAGCTCCTTGGCTTCACATCCCAGCTCCTTGGCTTCACATCCCAGCTCCTTGGCTTCACATCCCAGCTCCTTGTCTTTTATCCCAACTCCTTGCCTTCATATCCCAGCTCATTATTGATGTCAATATACTGATGTCAGAGCATTAATGAGTAGTTAACGTGTATGTATTTCTGCTCTGTTATTTATGTCATTAGAAGTCTTAATGAAATAGTTTTGGTTTAAACCGTTTATTTCTGTGTATTATTTATGTCTACCTTACTGACTGAACCTTGAGTGTAGTGGAGGCTGTGTACTCATCTCAGCAGATGTAGATCACATCTAACACAGTGTGTTGTGTACTTGCAGCATCCGAGGTCTGTACCGGCACGTGGAGGGAGAGAAACAGCATCCCATCTGAGAATAAAACCTCTTCCTCGCTTCTCTTGTTTGACTCTCCTCCTACCTAGGATCCTACCTCCCTTTCTCTCACTCCCCCCCCCCTACCACTACACATTCACACGCACCACAAAACTGTATCCGAGGATAATAGTTGTTTTTATACGTATATATTTACTGAACTACAACCATCAAAGCGTGGTTGTCTCGGTGCATAGCGTTGCAAGTCTGACGTGTGAGGGGTGACTACCACGAACGTCCACAGCTTGGTGAATCACACAGGCTGTGTTGTGTGGAGCGGAGGGGGCGTGCTCCCTGCTGGTGCCGCGGGGGGCGGGGAGGTGGTATCCCATGGGCCTCAGTGGCTAATCAGTGTCCAGTTGCTTGAACAAGTTTCAGGTCACTGTGAATAACGTCACTGATCCCACTACAGTCCCAGAATCATACTTGATGGTAGTACTTGATCACATTCAGTCCTCTGAGTTAAATAAAATGTAATTAGGCTAGAAATTTAGACTCAAACGAGTTGGCAGGGAAATGATATCGCCTCAGACTTTCAATCCCAGCAAGTCTAGTACGGGACATCCGTCCTGTACGAACTGACGCACAAATGTGTGATTACTAACTACTAACTTCAAATTAATCTAATAATTCTGAGGAGGAGTGTTGGTGTTTGTCAGTCTTAAGAGTACTGTTTTATTAAAATTATGATACACACAGAAATTAGACTAATGTGATATACATCGATAAGAAATTAAGTGTTCGACTTCGACCCTGTTCAGCCCCCCCCCCCGAGAATTATGTCGGAAAAAACGACACCATTTACTAATATTGAATACAATAGACAGATAATACCTGCTATTTTATATTAACAAATTAACTCATAGAAGTTAAAAATTAACGTCACAGTGGAAATTTCCTCCAGTAGAAAACAGGGGACATCATTCCCAAGTCGCTATTAAATTCACCTATATTAATGGGAATTATTCTTAATACAGCAGTAGAGTAAAGGAGGGCCCTCTAACTACTTCTTGACATCTGGACACAACCACCAAGGCTTCAGTGGGAGGAGAGCCGCACAGAGAGTCGCCATTTAATCAACCAATAAGAGACCAACAAGTCTCGCTGGGGGAATTAAACCCCAATAAATTCCTCTTTACGGGAGTAAAGTGCTCCCATTATCAACACAACTTCGTCTACTATCATGGCAGGTGTCTTTTCTGATTCCTATTCTGTCTAGCTTATTATTGGCCTATAATATTTAGATTTAGGAATGCCGGTTAGCACACGAGCCGAGACACACAAGGTAAATATTCCTTGGACTTCATCTAATAAATCATTACTGTATTTCCTCTGATATAGCTGTCATATTAAGTGTACTGTTGTTATTTGTCAGTGCCCTCTGACAGGTGTAAATGAGGAGGAAGAAGAATTAACACAAGTTACTTAGTACACCAGTACAGGTGATGCTGCCAGCCTCTTGAGATGATTTCAGTATCAGCCTCAGTCACGAGGACTATTTGGGGTCATCAGCCTTGTTCATAACAGGTGGACCAGGCCCACGACAATACAAATAACGTCTCCCCATTTAATTCCTAATATATGTAGTCTAATACTATAGTGAATGTCAACTAACCAATCACTTATATTGATGACTACACAAATAAGCCATAAACCCCACAGACTGTGTAAGGAAGCTATTTGTGAGAATTTTAAACCATACAGTCCACTTTAAACAACATACAGTTTGCTATCGAAAAATATAAATAAACGTAAAAAATAAAATATTACTATATGAATTATTAAAACTTAATAAATATAAATCTCACAGGTCATTTACCCACATGTCTCGTGCACCAATCTCTGTCTGTACCTCTTGGCAGGACTGGGCATACAGCTGAAGACGCAACAGGGGACGCAGGGACGCAGCAGGGGACGCAGGGACGCAGCAGGGGACGCAGAGACGCAACAGGGGACGCAGAGACGCAACAGGGGACGCAGAAACGCAACAGGGGACGCAGAGACGCAACAGGGGACGCAGAGACGCAGCAGGGGACGCAGAGGACGCAGCAGGGGACGCAGAGAACGCAGGGACGCAGCAGGGGACGCAGGGACGCAGCAGGGGACGCAGAGGACGCAGAGACGCAACAGGGGACGCAGAGACGCAACAGGGGACGCAGAAACGCAACAGGGGACGCAGAGACGCAACAGGGGACGCAGAGACGCAGCAGGGGACGCAGAGGACGCAGCAGGGGACGCAGAGAACGCAGGGACGCAGCAGGGGACGAGTGCGCCTCCAACAAGCTCCTCCAGTATAAGTGATGGCGGGAGGTCACCTATAAACAGTTGGGGATATAGCGGTCAACACCTGGAAGGTGTCTGTTGGTCTCCCGTAAGGAGCAAGAGTCCCGGCGTCAACCTTGTGACGTATTGTGAGACATTGGACAGAAATCAGGTCAATATTCTCTCTCTTTTGGAACATTGTGAAGCATTTTAAAGATGGCCTCCCACGGCTGTTGGCGTGATCCCTCGCCTCTCTGTGGCTGACACCAGGTGTGGGTACCTTAAAGATGTGGTGGTGGTGTGGTGGTCTGTCTGTGTGTGGTGAGGACGGTGGTGGTGGGTCTGTCTGTGTGGTGGTGGTGTGGTGAGGACGTCGGTGGTGTGGTGGGTCTGTCTGTGTGGTGGTGGTGGTGTGGTGGGTCTGTCTGTGTGGTGGTGGTGTGGTGGGTCTGTCTGTGGTGGTGGTGGTGGTGTGGTCTGTCTGTGTGGTGAGGACGGTGGTGGTGGGTCTGTCTGTGTGGTGAGGACGGTGGTGGTGTGGTGAGGACGGTGGTGGTGGGTCTGTCTGTGTGGTGAGGACGGTGGTGGTGTGGTGGGTCTGTCTGTGTGTGGTGAGGACGGTGGTGGGTCGGTCTGTGTGGTGAGGACGTCGGTGGTGTGGTGGGTCTGTCTGTGTGGTGAGGACGGTGGTGGTGGGTCTGTGTGGTGAGGACGGTGGTGGGTCGGTCTGTGTGGTGAGGACGTCGGTGGTGTGGTGGGTCTGTCTGTGTGGTGAGGACACCAGGACCTTGGACAATATGGCCTTGATATGATTTCCCACCGTCCTGAGCACATCCTGGCCGTCCCCCACCGTCCTGAGCACACCCTGGCCATCCCCACAGCCCCCCACCGTCCTGGCCTTCGTGGTGAGCACCACGCCTACTCACGCTCTCCACACCAGTATAGGTCTTTCCCTCCTCCCTCCACTACCCCGAGCATGGTATTGCCGAGTAAGAAGCACTATATAAGCAGATGTCCTGGCTGGCCCCGGGGGCTAGGGAGGGATAGGTAACACCAGGAGCCCATCCCTCCTCTCCCCTCTGTCCACGGACACACTGCAGGAGAACTGGCAAGGTGTGTAGAGTGCCGTCCGTGCTCACTACACGCGGGGAGATACATTCAGGCCTCAACACTCGCCTGAACAAAGGCTTCCTATGGCGCCTTTGTGTGTGTGTGTGTGTGTGTGTGTGTGTGTGTGTGTGTGTGTGTGTGTGTGTGTGTGTGTGTGTGTGTGTGTGTGTGTGTGTGTGTGTGTGGGTGTGGGTGTTCACCTATTTGTATTCCCCTATTTGTGCTTGCAGGATCGAACAGTGAGTCTTGGATCCCGCCTTTCTAGCCATCGGTTGTTTACAGCAATGACTCCTGTCCCACTTCCCTATCATATCTAGTTTTAAAATTATGAATAGAGTTTGCTTCCAAAACCTGCTCCTTAAGTGCATTTCATTTTTCCACTACTCTCACGCTAAAAGAAAACTTCCTAACATCTCTGACTTATCTGAGTTTCAAGCTTCCATCCATGTCCCCTCGTTCTGTTACTATTCCGTGTGAACATTTTGCCTATTTCCACTGTGTCAATCCCTCTGAGTATTTTATATGTTACTATCATATCCCCCCTCTCTCTTTTTTCTAGTGTCGTCAGGTTCAGTTCCTTCAGGTGCTCTTCATACCCCATCCCTCGTAACTCTGGGACGAGTCTCGTTGCAAACTTCTGAACCTTTTCCAGTTGTCGGAAAATACCTTCGCCATTTACTAACTTTCAATACAATATGCAGATAATATTGCCGCATATTTTGTACTAACAAATTAACACAAAAGTATTTAATAATTCAAAGAAAATTAAAATTGTGGAATTTTTCCTAGAAAAATTCTGAGTGAAAATTCAAATATCTGAGTGTTTACGTTCAGTAATTCATCTACTACGTACATATGACAAATTAAAACCACTAAGAAAACCTTCAGAAACCAATAATAGTTCTTCTTGGCAGAACACGTTTGTTCTGCCAAGAACAACATTCAATATACCACTGCACCAATTATCCTGATCGTGATGCAAGTGTCAATTGAATGAAAGTGTTGCAACATTGCACGAGGTGCCTCAGGAAACACAACACCATCGACTGTGAGAGCCAATTACACACCTGTAATAGGTGTAACAAGGGTCACCACCATGCAGCACTGTGCGGAGACACAAAAATAAAAAATAAAGTCTCCAAACCGCCAGGTGGAAGATAGCATGCCCACCACAGTACAGTACTGCAAGGTGCGACAGAAAATTAGTGTCCAATCGGCAAAGTCCAGAAATAATGCAACTTTGTGTACTGCCCAACTTACCATCAAACTAAAGGGGCCAACGTCCATACCCGAGGGTTGTTCGACCAGGGGTCCCAGAGAACAGTTGTCACCAAAAAAGTGGCCCATGATCAACAATTACAGCCTGTGACCCGGGTGGAATGAAATATAACAGGGTTCCTGTCTGATACAGGACCTCAAGTCTACCAGGTGGTACAACCATGGCCGGCTAAGCTGGCGTTTAGGCGGCCCTGTCCGTCAAGTACCAGCCATCGTGGTCGATACCATTCCACCGGACCTACATGTACAAGATCTGGGAGCCACGGCCAAATTCCCGAAAAAAAAGGTATAAAATTGGCAGATTAAATTAAGTCTGATCACCTCACCGACATAGGAATCCTTCTAGGTGCAGACTACTGCAACAAATTCCTCATTAGCTAAACTAAATACCAAGGAAAACCCGGTTAAATTCTGCAGGAGGCAAGTTACTCACAGGCCCAATAAAGCCTGAGGAGACCTATGCATGCAGAAAAACAATACAAATAAAAGTTTAAATTTGTCAGCTGAAAATAAAACTCCAGTACAATATACTTGAGAGAATAAAGCTGACTACATCAACAGAGGTTGATTTTGAGATCATTTAACGCTGAAGATGTGTTCATGAGGCCTCAGTGGCAAATCAATGAACAGTAGCCTAATCAGATACAAGTCACTGCGACCAATGTTACTGATCTCACTCCACTCTCGTCACCATCCTCGACTTTAATGATTGAGTAAATTCAATCCTCTGAATCAATGAAGCCAAAATAAATTACTAATATTATCAGCAAAAATAAACTCCAGCAAATAAGCACACTGGAGCATAGCTGACTATAAATCCGACGACTGATTTTTGATTCAATTAATATTAGCCGAGATGTATTCTCTGAGCCTCAGTGCCTCATCAGTGAACAGTAGTCTATACAAGCTACAAGTCACCGCCACCAGTGTCACTGATCCCACTGCAGTCCCAGAACAATACTTAACTGTAGTAATTGACCACATTCAATCGCGGGGTAGAAATAGCCTAAGCTACTCTATCCCTTTGAGATGTATTTTTTTTTCTTGTCTCAATAAACATACTTGAACTTTATCACATTCAGTTCTTTGGGTTAAACAGAATTAATTAGGCTAGAAATTTAGCCTCACATGAGTTAGCAGGAAAATGAAATCGCCCTCAGACTTCCAGCCCCCGCTACTCTAGCACGGGACGTCCTGAGAACCCCGACTAGATAGTGGACTTGGCAGGAAGGCCGGCAGGAAGGCCGGCAGGAAGGCCGACAGGCTAAACACATCAACATGTCGAATCTAACGTTTCAATCCATCAGAGAGTCGAGGAGCGGTGAGACTGTGTGCTATGAGAGCTGGACACTCACTGACCTCAGAACAGGTCGAAGAGACATATATACTGAAGTATTCCTCACTTCCTGCCGGGTATCGAACCCTGACCTCCAGTACAGCAGTCAGACATCGGGAGCTGCAGTCACCACACTTCGAATGAGGTACAGAAAACGTTCATATTTATACCCTGAACTCTCATGCACTCTGACTAGACCAAGTTATTCCACAGGTGCACGTTGACCAGCCTGGCTGTTCCACAGGTGCACGCTGACCAGCCTGGCTATTCCACAGGTGCACGCTGACTAGCCTGGCTGTTCCACAGGTGCACGCTGACTAGCCTGGCTGTTCCACAGGTGCACGCTGACTAGCCTGGCTGTTCCACAGGTGCACGCTGACTAGCCTGGCTGTTCCACAGGTGCACGCTGACTAGCCTGGCTGTTCCAAAGGTGCACGCTGACTAGCCTGGCTGTTCCACAGGTGCACGCTGACTAGCCTGGCTGTTCCACAGGTGCACGCTGACTAGCCTGGCTGTTCCACAGGTGCACGCTGACTAGCCTGGCTGTTCCACAGGTGCACGCTGACTAGCCTGGCTGTTCCACAGGTGCACGCTGACTAGCCTGGCTGTTCCACAGGTGCACGCTGACTAGCCTGACTGTTCCACATGGGCTGTGCGCGCGTGTTATCAGTCCCCGGTAGCCGCATCAGTCAGGTAACAAGCCGTGCTCTAGCTCCCGGGCCGCAGATACCGAATTCCAGAGCACTCAGGAGGATTAAGATCGAGATCTCGAGGACAAAAGAGCTGGTGCGGCTGGCATGAAGAGGGAGCCTTTATGGCCTGACTTTCCGACTGGCGTCCTTGTGGGAGCGTAATGTTACCCGGCTGTGTACTCCGTCAACTGTGCTGCTTCTTTCTTGGGCACGTGGAGCTCCGTGACTCCTGGAGGCGCAGGAAGGAGAGGAGGGGCGCCACAGGTGAGAGTGAGTGGCTCCCTCAGCGTGAGGACACCACGTGGTGCAGACGGAGGTGGACGCCCGGGCTTCCTCACATCGGTAACCTGGATATAACACCGCCTTGACCGGGACCACAGTACCCACAGGGCAGGTGGGCACCACACGTGGCCAGCTGGGACAGTGTCGGGGTGCCAGTACGCCCCACAACCACCACCTGCCGCCGCCAGTGGCTGCTGCTGCTGCTGCTGGTACTGCCGCCACCACCGCTGCCGCTGCTGGTGGTGCTACCCCAGACAGCCAGTAGGGCTCGCACCCTGAGCGCGACAGCACGTGTATGCGCGCGCTCGTCCCAAACAAACTAGCACTAGAGGGCACCATCCCCTCAAGCTATGAGAGCGCAACATGCGGTTGTAAGCCTCATTATTGATGGTGGTGAGCGTGTGGAGGACATTACGGAGAGTGAGAGAGAGGGCGAGCAGAGAGGCTTGGCTCACCTGTAGAGCCTGCTTCACCTGGCACAAGCAGGCAGGGGCTCCCCTCACGCCCCAGGGTGTCCCCTCAGTGGGCAGGGGGTGGGACTATAGTGTGATATACACCACAGTATCTGGCCCCAGTAACAATGTGGACATGAACACTCACTTAAATGTAAGCTGGAAGTTAAAGGTGAGAGCAGGCGAAGGATGGCGTGGTTGTCTCTCCCGGCTACACCTGGGTCTCCATACACAGGTAACCTACACCCTCGCCAGGCCCTACACCCTCACCTACACCCTGCCTCACTCGCCAGGCCCTACACCCTCACCCTGCCTCACTCGTCAGGCCCTACACCCTCACCTACACCCTGTCTCACTCGCCAGGCCCTACACCCTCACCCTGCCTCACTCGTCAGGCCCTACACCCTCACCCTGCCTCACTCGTCAGGCCCTACACCCTCACCCTGCCTCACTCGTCAGGCCCTACCCTCACCCTGCCTCACTCGTCAGGCCCTACACACCCTGCCTCACTCGTCAGGCCCTACACCCTCACCCTGCCTCACTCGTCAGGCCCTACACCCTCACCCTGTCTCACTCGTCAGGCCCTACACCCTCACCCTGCCTCACTCGTCAGACCCTACACCCTCACCCTGCCTCACTCGTCAGGCCCTACACCCTCACCCTGCCTCACTCGTCAGGCCCTACACCCTCACCCTGTCTCACTCGTCAGGCCCTACACCCTCACCCTGCCTCACTCGTCAGGCCCTACACCCTCACCTACACCCTGCCTCACTCATCAGGCCCTACACCCTCACCTACACCCTGTCTCACTCGTCAGGCCCTACACCCTGTCTCACTCGTCAGGCCCTACACCCTCACCTACACCCTGCCTCACTCGTCAGGCCCTACACCCTCACCTACACCCTGCCTCACTCGCCAGGCCATACACCCTCACGTACACCCTGCCTCACTCGTCAGGCCCTACACCCTCACCTACACCCTGCCTCACTCGCCAGGCCCTACACCCTCACCTACACCCTGCCTCACTCGCCAGGCCCTACACCCTCACCTACACCCTGCCTCACTCGTCAGGCCCTACACCCTCACCTACACCCTGTCTCACTCGTCAGGCCCTTCACCCTCACCTACACCCTGCCTCACTCGTCAGGCCCTACACCCTCACCTACACCCTGCCTCACTCGCCAGGCCCTACACCCTCACCTACACCCTGCCTCACTCGTCAGGCCCTACACCCTCACCTACACCCTGCCTCACTCGCCAGGCCCTACACCCTCCCCTACACCCTGCCTCACTCGCCAGGCCCTACACCTTCACCCTGCCTCACTCGCCAGGCCCTACACCCTCACCTACACCCTGCTTGATTGACGGTTGAGAGGCGAGACCAAAGAGGCAGAGCTCAACCCCTGCAAGCACAATTAGGTGAGTACAATTAAGTGAGCACACACACACACACACAGCAGGATCAGATGCAACAGAGCTAGGAACGATTACATTAACATATGAGCATCGGAAAGAAATTATGAGAACGATATTGCGATCAAAGCGAAAAAGCAACCTAAATTACTACACAGTCATATAAGAAGAAAAATGTCGGTGAACGACCAAGTGACAAGACTAAGGAAGACAGAGGGGGCATATACTGAAAGTGACAAGGAAATCTGCGAGGCACTGAATGCCAGTTTCCATGGAGTGTTCACAACCGAGCCTGAGCAGCTCCCATTGTTAGAAGAGATTACCCTAGATGAAAGACTATCAGATATAGAGGTGACAGCAGAGGAGGTAATGAAACAGTTGACAACACTGGATTCAACTAAAGTGGTTGGACCAGACAAAGTATCACCGTGGATACTAAAAGAGGCAGCGTAGGCCCTCAGCGTGCCTCTGGCAATGATCTTTAATGAGTCACTTATGTCGGGAGAATTGCTAAATTGCTGGAAGAAGGCAAATGTCGTACCGATTTTCAAGAAAGGGGATAGGGAGGAGGCACTTAACTATAGACCTGTATCACTGACCAGCATCCCCTGTAAAATACTTGAAAGAATAATTAGGTTAAGACTGGTTGCACACCTGGAGAACGTTAGGTTTGTAAACAAATATCAACATGGGTTCTGGAAAGGGAAATCGTGCCTAACAAACCTTTTGGAATTCTATGATAAAATAACGAGGTTAAGGCAGGACAGAGATGGTTGGCAGACTGCATATTTCTGGACTGCCAAAAGGCCTTTGATACAGTACCGCACATGAGATTGCTATTCAAACTTGAGAGGCAGGCGGGAGTAAGCAGAAAGGCCCTAGCATGGATAAGGAACTACCTAACAGGAAGGAACCAGAGAGTTACGGTAAGGGGTGAGAAGTTGAACTGGCGAACAGTAACGAGTGGAGTACCTCAAGGATCGGTGCTGGGACCAATTCTATTTCTAATATACTTTAATGACATTTTTACATGAGTAGAATCCTACATGTCGATGTTTGCGGATGACGCAAAGTTGATGAGAAGAGTTGTGACATGAGGATTGTAGGATCCTCCAAGAGTTCTTGAACAGGTTTCAGAGATGGTCATAGAAATGGCTACCGGAGTGCAACACAAGCAAATGTAAACTTATGGAAATGGGACTAGGTGATAGAAGAAAAAAGGGACAGTACACCATGAAGGGGAACTGCCTACCTGTGACGACGCGAGAAAGAGACCTGGGCGTGGACGTAACACCTAATCTAACTCCTGAAGCACATATAAATAGGATAACGACAGCAGTGTACTCTACATTGGCAAAAGTTAGAACATCATTCAGAAACCTAAGGAAGGAGGCATTTAGGGCGCTTTACACTGCCTACGTGAGACCAGTCTTGGAGTATGCCGCCTCACCATGGAGTCCCCACCTGAAAAAACACATAAGGAAACTGGGAAAGGTTCAGAAGTTTGCGACGAGACTCCAGAGTTACGAGGGATGGGGTATGAAGAGCGCCTGAAGGAACCGAGCCTTACGACACTAGAAAAAAGAAAGAGGGGGAGATATGATAGGAACGTATAAAATACTTAGGGGATTGACAGAGTGGAAATTTATTAAATGTGGTAGTAATACTACCAAATGATAATCGCACTTCCACCCACAGGTTTACCGATCAACTTCACATTCTACCTACATAACCGCAACATATTGTGGTTATGTATGACTACATAACCACAACATATTGTGGTTATGTATGACTACATAACCACAACATATTGTGGTTATGTATGACTACATAACCGCAACATATTGTGGTTATGTATGACTACATAACCACAACATATTGTGGTTATGTATGACTACATAACCGCAACATATTGTGGTTATGTATGACTACATAACCGCAACATATTGTGGTTATGTATGACTACATAACCGCAACATATTGTGGTTATGTATGACTACATAACCACAACATATTGTGGTTATGTATGACTACATAACCACAACATATTGTGGTTATGTATGACTACATAACCGCAACATATTGTGGTTATGTATGACTACATAACCACAACATATTGTGGTTATGTATGACTACATAACCGCAACATATTGTGGTTATGTATGACTACATAACCGCAACATATTGTGGTTATGTATGACTACATAACCACAACATATTGTGGTTATGTATGACTACATAACCACAACATATTGTGGTTATGTATGACTACATAACCGCAACATATTGTGGTTATGTATGACTACATAACCACAACATATTGTGGTTATGTATGACTACATAACCACAACATATTGTGGTTATGTATGACTACATAACCACAACATATTGTGGTTATGTATGACTACATAACCGCAACATATTGTGGCTATGTATTAATACATAACCGCAACATAGCTTTACTAGGTGATGGTGAGGGTGCTGATGGTGAGGGTGCTGATGGTGAGGGTGCTGATGGTGAGGGTGCTGATGGTGAGGGTGCTGATGGTGAGGGTGCTGATGGTGAGGGTGTTTTTTTTTTTTGGCAGAGATATTCCTGCGCGGGCCCTAAGCCTCTGGCTGGCCCACTGGGCGGGCCCTAAGCCTCTGGCTGGCCCACTAACTGTTGCTTGTTTCTGTTTTACTTGGGCGGAGAATGAGTATTTATGACTCGTATGGTCGCTTCAGTAAGATTTTGTCACATGTGTTTAACAACTTCTTCTGCTCTGTTGAATCTAAGTTGAAATCTTAATAGGTTTGTAACTGTGCTCCGTGAGGGTGGTGATAGTGAAGGTGGTGATAGTGAAGGTGGTGATGGTGATCAGCTGGCTCTCAGCGGGTCACCCACATCTGCCCACATGTTACAATATAAACACAGTAATGATAATATCCTCACAGCTAATCTCAATGAGTAGTGACGACTCCCTAACTAGACATGTGTTGACCATGGATGCATAATCTCCAGGTGACGTAACTAATCCCTCACTCAAATACCTTACAACACGGCCATAAACTGATAATGAGTATATATAACCGAGCGGATACTGTGTGCCCCGTTGTCTCATGGTTGTCGCACCGTTGGACCGTTGGAGGACCACGGATGACGTCGATATCCGTGGGTAATAAATGTGCCTCCCTCGTGATGGAGAGTTGCTCCTCTCTGTCCCTCTGCGCCCTCACGGGTGTGCGTCAAAACAATAGTCACGTTACTTTATCTCCTTTACTAATTAGAACAGTTAGGATTTATTTTACGCTTTAACGAATTAATTCTAAATCCAGAAAACAGTTTCAGATTGTTCCTAACGCTGGACTAGAAGTTTGTGAGTTTTAAGGTAGATTTGATATGCGGTAAACTCTTGGTGTGACTATTCCACCGGCAGACTTAGCATTCACAATTGTAATAATTTACCTCGAGTGGAAGATTACTTCAATTCTTTTTAAGTTTTAGTTTATTCCAGTCTAAAATAATAATTGCAAATGAAAGCAAATTGTAGAGTGGATTTATCAAGAGTTAAGCGAGGAAATAATCCGGCGTGGTCCGTGGTGGCTGACCCAACCGTCCGCTTTTGGTTCTAGGAAACTTTTAGCATTCCCCTTGCTAGAAATTAACATTGCTGGTAAAGTTAATTTCCTGACACAACGTTTTTATCGTGTGGTGTCAGGGGTTAGTACTCTGGGTGTCGGAAAATTCCGACATAATTCCGGAGGAAAGAAAACACAGGTTCATTGTTTAGTACTGATGGACACTGATGCCCTCCCCCCTCAAAATCAAAGCTTATATTTGCGTTAGAAGATTTATCAGATGGGATGGATTTGGAGGTTCTCGTTGTGAGATATCATCAGAGAGGTCCAGCAACCAGGAGGCCTGGTCGACGACCGGGCCGTGGGGACGCTAAGCCCCGGAAGCACCTCAAGGTAACCTCAAGGTAAGGTAAGGTAAGCTAGGGGCCGGTTGTCGACTCCTCCTTTCTAAAGAAGGAGCTTTAGAAGCTCTCTAAAGAGCTTCTATTTCTAAAACAACGGTTTGAAGTTCCTGTAGGCAATTTTTTGGCGATATAAGACTTTTCACTTAACCTCACACAGTCAACTCATTTACACAACTCACTCCCCTGCCTCACTCGCCATGGTGAGGCAGGGGAGTGCCTCACCTTGGCACTCCCCCTAAAATATCCCCTAAAATATCCCCTAAAATATCCCCTAAAATATCCCCTAAAATATCCCCCTAAAATATCCCCTAAAATATCCCCCTAAAATATCCCCTAAAATAATATTCCCATCAGCAAGATTTGTAAATATTTTATATTCAAGTCTGATCGTTAATTATGAACTAAATAACTAAAAAGAACTAATCTTTAATTGCTGAATTGTAATGCAGATTAAATTTCATTATTTCTAAATTAATTTGTATCATTTTTGGAAATTTTTCGTGTCATATTAAATATTGCAATGACAATACAGGCATTGTTGTTGTTAATATTTTGTTGTGACCGTTGGCCAGGGTGTGTTGTTAGTACTGACCAGGGTGTGTTGTTAGTACTGACCAGGGTGTGGTGTTAGTACTGACCAGGGTGTGTTGTTAGTACTGACCAGGGTGTGTTGTTAGTACTGGCCAGGGTGTGGTGTTAGTACTGACCAGGGTGTGTTGTTAGTACTGACCAGGGTGTGTTGTTAGTACTGACCAGGGTGTGTTGTTAGTACTGACCAGGGTGTGTTGTTAGTACTGACCAGGGTGTGTTGTTAGTACTGACCAGGGTGTGTTGTTAGTACTGACCAGGGTGTGTTGTTAGTACTGACCAGGGTGTGTTGTTAGTACTGGCCAGGGTGTGTTGTTAGTACTGGCCAGGGTGTGTTGTTAGTACTGGCCAGGGTGTGGTGTTAGTACTGACCAGGGTGTGTTGTTAGTACTGACCAGGGTGTGGTGTTAGTACTGACCAGGGTGTGTTGTTAGTACTGGCCAGGGTGTGGTGTTAGTACTGACCAGGGTGTGTTGTTAGTACTGACCAGGGTGTGTTGTTAGTACTGGCCAGGGTGTGTTGTTAGTACTGGCCAGGGTGTGGTGTTAGTACTGACCAGGGTGTGGTGTTAGTACTGACCAGGGTGTGTTGTTAGTACTGACCAGGGTGTGGTGTTAGTACTGGCCAGGGTGTGGTGTTAGTACTGACCAGGGTGTGTTGTTAGTACTGACCAGGGTGTGTTGTTAGTACTGACCAGGGTGTGTTGTTAGTACTGACCAGGGTGTGGTGTTAGTACTGACCAGGGTGTGTTGTTAGTACTGACCAGGGTGTGGTGTTAGTTGTCATAGTCACGAGTCATGTCACCCGCCGCTGCTGGAGGCATGTCACCCGCCGCTGCTGGAGTCATGTCACCCGCCGCTGCTGGAGGCATGTCACCCGCCGCTGCGTATAGCGACGGGTGACGCAGACAAATTCCTACAGATAATGAAATATTTTGTTCCCAGGTTAATTGTATAATATTATCAGACGTGTTTACCAGCTCTATAATTGGACGTTTTCCAGCGCTATAATTGGACGTATTTTCAGCACTATAATTGGACGTGTTTTCCAGCGCTATAATTGGACGTATTTTCCAGCACTATAATTGGACGTGTTTTCCAGCGCTATAATTGGAGGCGTTTTCCAGCGCTGTAATTGGACGTGTTTTTCATCACTATAATTGGACGTGTTTTCCAGCGCTATAATTGGACGTGTTTACCAGCGCTATAATTGGACGTGTTTACCAGCGCTATAATTGGACGTGTTTACCAGCGCTATAATTGGACGTGTTTACCAGCGCTATAATTGGACGTGTTTTCCAGCGCTATAATTGGACGTGTTTTCCAGCGCTATAATTGGACGTGATGTCGCCTTGTGAGGGGGCTCACGTACACCTCCCTGGAACCGGTGAGGGGTTGCTTTTACCCCCCTCACCTGCCCCCTCTGTGGGTGGTGGTCGTGCAGAGGGGCACTATGTAGGGGCCTTGTGAGCCATCGGACCGCCCGCTGGAGGGGCCGCCCGTGAGGGGCCGCCCTAAGTGGATGGCTGGGTGTCCAGGCTGGGGCCATAGGGGAACTGAGGTCTTTGCACCAGTGTGGGAGATTGAACGATGCAATAGAACTTTCCTCTTAAAAAGGTGCGGAAACGACGCACCCCGCACTGGCCCGCGCTCTGCCTCCCTGGCTGCCCAGTTAGGCGGTATACCTTGGTTCCAGGCCCCAAATTTTTTTTAGAACGAATGGTGCATGGATGACGACACGACTTCTCTTACCCCGGCTCATGGGGTGGGCGACCAGGCCTCTGAGTCGGACCGTCCAGGAAGACCGGGCTCTGTAGCCCCCGCTGCATTGGGCCCAGATCAGACTACTCCCCTCCGTCCTCTGTGGTAGGGTCAAGTCCCAAGCCCTCTGTGGTGACCACCTGTTGCCTAGCACGGCTCCATCTCTCATTGTGACTACTGCGCCTTATGACCCCATGGGTGGAGTACCACTGTGGTGGTGTGGTGTCACTGTATTTACTATTTGTATCTGCAGATTCGAACAATTAGCTCTTGGACCCCGCCTTTCTTATAAATATATTTTTTTCTCTATCAAGTCTAATACATATATTCCTCTCTAGCACACACACATGCACACCCAAATAGCAGCCCGTAGCAGCTGCCTAACTCCCAGGTACCTATTTACTGGTAGGTGAACAGGCCCATCAGGGTGAAAGAAAATGTGCCTATTTGTTTCCCCCTCTGCCGGGATCGAACCTGGGCCCTTAGGAATATGACCACAGAGCGCTGTCAACTCAGCCGTGAAGCCCTCGAGGCCTGTGTGGCTGTGGTGGAGTGCGTGCAGGCGGGCGTGCAGGCGGGCGTGCATGCGCGCATGTGGGCGGCCGATAAGATATGCGCGCCGCATGTTTGGAGAGTAGAGGGGTGCGTCTCGCTGGTAATTGTGGAGAGAATTAGGTATCGACCGTCCCCCTGTGCTTAGCGTCCCCTCCCCTCCCCCCCCGTCACCACCTAATTTGTGGCACTCTCCCTCTGACTGATGCCTGCTGGCTGATAAGGCCCGCCTCTCTCACCTGTCTCACGCTGTGGGGGGGGGGGGGGCTTGTGTGGGGGCGACGGTGGTGGGGGTGGTAGAGTGGGGGCGACGGTGGTGGGGGGGCTAGTGTGGGGGAGGTGGTGGTGGGGAGCTAGTGTGGGAGTGGTGGCTAGTGTGGGGGGGGGGCTAGTGGTGGCTAGTGTGGGGGGGGCTAGTGGTGGGGGCTGCGGTGGTGAGGACTAGTGTGGGGGTGATGGAGGACTAGTGTGGGGGGGTGTTGGTATATATCGTTTATATACACCTACATACACACATATTCAGTACGAGATAAAATACCACATTTTGTAAAGTCATCCCGGTAACGACTCCCACCGCCCGTTTTCTTCAAGCCGTCAGCAGACCAGCCCGCGTGGGTGTCTGGGACGCGAGTCGCAGCACCAGCCTGCAAGCCCACGTCACCCAGTCTTCCCAGATCTTAAAAACAAAAACTGTACTTACCGAGCGGAGTGTGCAGGAGTAAGCCCTTAGCTCCTGGGCCAGGCTTGAGGGTTACCAGGGTGGTGGTGGTGGTGGAGGGGGGACCCGGGAGCCACAACACACCGCTCCTGTACCAGAAAAATCTCGTCACAGTAAAACAATAAAAAAATAAAAAAAAAAAAACACGTTCCCACAACAAAATCCTAACGCTAATTGCCCGTCCTCTGAGGCTCTTGTTTTGCACATGTTTTAAACATATATATATATATATATATATATATATATATATATATATATATATATATATATATATATATATATATATATATATATATATATATTATATAAAACACACGGTAAAATCACTAATAGAACAGTGGCTATTAGGGCAGCTGGAATGCCACGCACATTAAACAAAAACAAAGTTAAAACAAAGTAAATAAAACTGCTATGTAGATCTCTTCACTGTACCTGCCACTCTCCATGGTGTTTAACAGATCACTGGTAACAGGTGAACTGCCCAAAATTTGGAAGACGGCTAATGAAGTCCTGATATACAAGAAGGGGGATTAGACAGGAGACACTGAACTACAGGCCAGTGTCCCTAACCTGCATACCATGCAAGCTGATGGAGAAGATTGTGCGTTAAAAGCTAGTGGAACATCTGGAGCGAAAGAACTTTGTAACACAACATCAACATGGGTTCAGGGATGGCAAGTCATGCCTCACAGGGTTAATTTAATTCTACGACCAGTCAACAAAAATCAGGCAAGAAAGGGAAGGGTGGGCAGACTGCATATTTTTGGATTGTTAGAAAGCCTTTAACACAGTATCTCACAAGAGGCTAGTGAAAAAGCTGGAGATACAGGCAGAAGTGAAAGGGAAGGTACTCCACTGGATAAGGGAGTACCTAAGCAACAGAAAATAGCGAGGGACTGTGAGGGGTGAGGTCTCAGATTGGCGAGACGTCGCCAGTGGAGTCCCGCAGGGTTCAGTCCTTGAACCTATGCTGTTTTTTATTCATTCCTCTCATTGTTTGCTGATGATGCTAAAATTATGAGGAGGATTAAGACAAAGGAAAATAGTATGAGGCTACAAGATGACCTTGACAAACAATGAATGGTCCAACAAATGGCTACTAAAGTTCGACCCGAGTAAATGTAAGGTAATGAAACTAGGCAGTGGAAACAGGAGGCCAGACACAGGATACCGAATGGGAGATGATGAAGTCCTTCATGAAACGGACAGAGAGAGAAAGATCTAGTAGTTGATATCACGCTAAATCTGTCTCCTGAAGCCCATTTAAAAAGAATAACATCTGCGGCATATGCGAGGCTGGCTAACATCAGAACAGCTTTCAGGAACCTGTGTAAGGAATCTTTCAGAATTTTGTACACCACATATGTAAGACCATTCCTGGAGTATGCGGTCCCAGCTTGGAGCCGGTATCTTCTCAAGCATAAGACGAAGCTGGGAAAAGTTCAGAGGTATGCCACTACACTAGTCCCAGAACTAAGGGGAATGAGTTACGAGGAAAGGTTGCTTGAGATGCACCTCACGACACTGGAAGACAGAGTACGGGGAGACATGATCAAAACCTACAAAATTCTCAGAGGAATTGACAGGATAGATAAGGATAAACTGTTTAACACTGGTGGTACACAAACAAGGGAACACAGGTGGAGACCGAGTACCCAAATGAGCCACAGAGACGTTAGAAAGAACTTTTCCAGTGTCAGAGTAATTAACAGGTGGAATGCATTAGGCAGTGATGTGGTGGAGGCTGACTCCATACACAGTTTCAAATGTAGATATGATAGAGCCCAGTAGGCTCAGGAATATGTACATCAGTTGATTGACGGTTGAGAGGTGGGACCAAAGAGCCAGAGCTCAACCCCCGCAAGCACAACTAGATGAGAACATGCCACCGTATAGCCCAATAGGGCTTCTGTTGTTCCCATTATTCTCGTGTTAAATTATAATGTTAAGGAGGATGGTGGAGGTGAGAGGGGGAGGGGGGCAGAGTGCCGTGTGGTGCCACGTGGCATCACACGGCACCACGTGCCACCACGTGGTGGCACGTGGTGGCTGGTCCCCATCGTTACCAGCACGTAATGATCCTCAATTTGGATGCTATCGACAGCAGCGTCCAAATTGGTGGGCTTTATTGGAATTTAAACAACTCAATTTCCGCTCATATTCCGACTAATGAGGATTGGTTGTACTCACCTGGTGGTGGTAGTGTGGTGGGTGTACTCACCTGGTGGTGGTAGTGTGGTGGGTGTACTCACCTGGTGGTGGTAGTGTGGTGGTTGTACTCACCTGGTGGTGGTAGTGTGGTGGGTGTACTCACCTGGTGGTGGTAGTGTGGTGGTTGTACTCACCTGGTGGTGGTAGTGTGGTGGTTGTACTCACCTAGTGGTGGTAGTGTGGTGGGTGTACTCACCTGGTGGTGGTAGTGTGGTGGGTGTACTCACCTGGTGGTGGTAGTGTGGTGGGTGTACTCACCTGTATGACTGCGTGTATTGTGGGGTCTGCGGTCACTGACGACGCTGCATGTATTGTGAGGTGTACACCAACCCTGTACACCACACCACACCTGCAGTGTGAGCCTAGAGCGTGCCAGAACAAGGACTAACCCTCACACCAGGAGAGGAAGAGTGTGATGATCTGAGCCAGGCTCATCACAGCACTGGGATCCCTCGAACACTCGTAGGTTATCTACGCCATAGCAAGTCCACGCAACAAAAGGTCATTGCCGGCTACAAGTTACTGACCTTAACTCTTAGAATATAATGTTCATAAAAGTATCATTGTCGCTGGCAAACTGTTTTGTTTATATTAATATACAGAGGGAGACTAGGACTTCCTTCATTGAAGGACCGAATTCAAATCTTCACTAAAGATTCCCTAAACTTCAACTCGGCCACAGCCGCGTTTTCGTAACAAAATAAAAGGTTAGGAAATGGACTAACTCGTAAAATACATAATTCTGTTTCAGTTGTAGGTCAGTCCTTATGCTAGTTGGGGAGGAAACAGGAGTCATAATCGGTACAGAAATAAAATAATATACAGCATTGTAGTAAAACCTGGGTAGCAACCTCCGTAGACTTTCACGATATCTTGCATCTCATAAATGACATTAAGAATGGTATTGTTAATACAAAACCTGTAGATGTGATGTAGAGCAGCATAGTGGTGGCCAGGATCAGGTTACCTGTGACTGGTGGCTCCAGGTGACGACTCCCAGGTGTGAGCTGAGGGAGCAGCAGCACCAGGCTCACGACCACACCCACACTACAGTGTTGTGGGGCCAGCCTCCACACCTCTCGCTCATGCCAGGTACAGACGGGGGAAGTGCTCCCTTAGTTCTCAGTGTCTTGGAAAGTGCAGAATGTCACGTTTGTTGTTGTTGGGTTACTACGAGAGGGAAGGTGGTGGAAGAGAGAGGGAAGGTGGTGGAGGAGAGAGGGAAGGTGGTGGAGGAGAGAGGGAAGGTGGTGGAGGAGAGAGGGAAGGTGGTGGAGGAGAGAGGGAAGGTGGTGGAGGAGAGAGGGAAGGTGGTGAGGGAGAGGGAAGTTCTTTGTGATTAATAACAAAATTATAACTTATAAATCTGAGCGATAAGGAGCCAGATAAGAGCACCATTACCGCGGGGGGCTGTGGTCGTGGACCAGTGTGCTGGTCGAGTCTTGGCTGTATTTGTTCCGTCACCTTTATACTGTCTCTCTCTCCGCCTCTCACACTCAGGTGGTCTCTGCTGGCCCTCAGATCTCTCTCTCCGCCTCTCACACTCAGGTGGTCTCTGCTGGCCCTCAGATCTCTCTCTCTCCGCCTCTCACACTCACGTGGTCTCTACTGGCCCTCACACACCTCCCTGTGCTCTCTAGTGTTCTCTTACTGCTCTACTTCCTCAGTGTTCGTGTATGTATCCGTCGTGTATCCGTCCGTGCAAGATTCAACTACGGATTCCGCCTTTGTTTTTCCTTTTCATCTTTGGACTTGTCATTTGCCTCCTGGCACTTGGGTGATGTAATCCATCATGGCGCGTACACACTCTTCTCCTGTTTACAGTCCTGTAAAGTCCTGTTTACCGTGGTATTCCAATTAGGAACTCTCTCATTTCATCATAGTTTTCCCTTTCGGTATGCCAGCACTCTGCTGACCTGTTCCTTCCCACTTCCACCAGATCTTCAAATGTGGGTTCACTGTGGTCACTCATTCCCACGGGGCTGAGCTACAATTTGATCTCCCTGATGTCTGACTCGTTCACGGTGAATATAAGATCAGGTCTCGCTGGTTCGTCATTGCCTACGGTACAGCGACGGTCTCGCTTCATGCAGATAGGCGTTCAATCCCCGACCGTCCAAGTGGTTGGGCACCATTCCTTTCCCCCTTCCCATCCCTAATCCTTATCCTGACCCCTTCCCAAGTGCTATATAGCCGTAATGGCTTGGCGCTTTCCCCCCCTGATAATTCCCTCGTCATTGCCTCGCATTCTTATGGGTCCCTTGACATGTTGACTTAGCCAGTTTAGTTTTGTCATATTCATTAGTTTAGCTCTAGGGGCCTCGTAGCCTGGTGGATAGCGCGCAGGACTCGTAATTCTGTGGCGCGGGTTCGATTCCCGCACGAGGCAGAAACAAATGGGCAAAGTTTCTTTCACCCTGAATGCCCCTGTTACCTAGCAGTAAATAGGTACCTGGGAGTTAGTCAGCTGTCACGGGCTGCTTCCTGGGGGTGGAGGCCTGGTCGAGGACCGGGCCGCGGGGACACTAAAAAAAAAAGCCCCGAAATCATCTCAAGATAACCTCAAGAAAGAAGCTCACCATGAATCTGTTCCTCCACGTGGGTCCTGATTCTTCCAGTCTATATATACATGGTTGAAGTTACGAGTTAGGGGAGACATGATTACCCCATGCAAAATTCTCAGGGGAATCGGGAACCCTAACTCCAAAGGCTCATATAAATAGAATAACGTCAGCCGCATACTCATGTATGAGACTCGTCCCAGAGCTGCGAGGAATGAGGTACGAAGACAGACTGAAGGAACTAAACCTGACGACGCTAGAAAGGAGGAGAAAGAGGGAGTACATGATACAGACGTATAAAATTCTTAGAAAAATTG